TATATTGTAATATACAGGATTTTTATTCACGGGCACAGCAAAGCCATAATTAATCATATCTACATGGAACCATCCTCGGGTAGTGTAGATTTAATTTTGTCCCGATAATCACGACCAGAGGGGGGACGTAAAGGGTAAAAAAAAAAAGCTATTGTTAGACTAAGAAATACGCAGGCAGCTTTGTTAGTATAGATTCATGCAACCAAATTCAAGTTTGTTGAAATCATTATCCCCTATATTAGCCACAGTGCTCAGGTGAGCGATGTGGCCCATGAGCCTCTTGTTTGTATTGATGTCAACTAACTATGCTCTTATTTTATGGTTGCCTGGTCTTTAAAGAGAAACTCAGAACTTTGATGACTGAGGGACCCCCTAGCTCCCCTCCTAAAAAACCTTTTATCTTCATCACCAGCCATCAATCAACGATCAATGTTATCAAAGATCCAAGGTACATTATTCAAGTCTCTTTTGACATCATTTTATTCAGTCTCTGACTTTGTTTTAGAATTAAGATTGTCAATTTTTTGCTAATTAATTCTTTATCAATCAGAGAACGTCCTCTTTCTAAGCCTACTAGAGGAAGGATATGGAGATATTGAACAGTATTCAATCTCAAAGTCCGTGAAATAATACAAATTAGATCCAGAGCAAACATAGACCTCCGAAACATCAGAGGTTTTATTAGGTGTCATGGAGGAGTGAGCATCCCCTGCTGACCGGTCACACCAGTTGTGTGCTCCTTGTCATGATCGGGAAATAACAAAAAAATCCGTCGACAAAATGATGTATAAATCATTGACTAACAATTGATATGAAAAACGTCAGTCAGCATTTGATTCCACGAAAAAATTGTATTCGCTGACAAGTACATGGTATCGACCATTGAACTTACGAAATGATGACTTTAAACGAGCCTGATGATATTCTTGTTTCATCAACTTGTTTGTCAATTATTTACCTCTTTTAAGAAATTGTTCATACATAGAGCATGCTCTTGCGTTTCGAATCAATTGAGATATATATACTCCGTATGCAGGTGATGAAGGTATATATTGCTGCATAAGTAAGGGAAGCTGATGATAGAAAAAAAGTCATCACGTTTACCACTTTATATACGTTTATATCTTTGTTGTAGATAACCATTAACGTCTTTTTCAGGTAAAATATCTAAGTATGAAACAAATGTGTCAGACTCTCTGGTATGTTTTATCTCAAGCTCACCAGGATATGTCGTATCGACGTAGGAATGGAAATTACCATTGTTTATTGACAATACGTCTTCGATATATCTAAATGTCGAGTTGAAGGCCACAGAAAGTGTTTTCTTCTTTTCATGCATAAGATTTTGCACAAATTCTGCTTCATATGAATGTAATTAAAATAGGTCTGCTTATAACGGAGCGCAATTGGTACCCATGAGAATTCCAATAGATTGTTGGAAGAATTGATCTCCAAAACCACATAGATACATGTAAAGTCAATTAGAAACTCAAGCATCTCTTTGATGTCAACTTCAGAGTATTCGTGTGTTTAATCAGAATGTGTTTTAACTAAATAATTTTGCAAATGACCAATGACCAGGTAAAAAAATTACAAGTTCCATTTTTTTGAAAATACAGCAGTCAGTGATTTCAGAATGAGGAATGGTTGTGTATAAAGTTGAAAAGTCGAAAGTTTTTATGCTGTTGACTTTGGTAAAATCTTGTGATTTCAAATTGTCCGAAAGTTCTTTGAAAATTTTTCACATCTGACCCACACCACTTCTTGAATATATTGTTGCACAGTACTCTTGAAGTTTTTGCATCACTTCTGTCAATATCTTAGTGAGGAGTAACGAAAGAGGCTTGGCTGAACATTGACTGGAACCTGCAATGTATCTTTATTTGTAAGGATTTTTATGAAGTTTCTGAATCCAATATTTGTACGGTAGTTCAAATTCATTTTGGCTCTGTGGAATATTAAAAATATTTAAAACTGACACATGATTTTGAAGATTTTCTTCCTTAGAAAGGGAAGTATGAGTATACGTAGGATTAACACTTGTAGAATTAAGTTCTTCTAAAATACAATTTATTTAATGAGCCTTACAAACGAAGACAATGTTGTTACCTGCTTTGTCGGCAGTGACCAATACGTACTGATTATGTAATCAATCTATTTCTTTTTTCACTTCTAGATTACTGAACACAGAAAAATAGATGGTTTTCATATTGCCCTTCAATCTTTTAATACGTGACTATAACATGGATCTGATACATTTAATCCATTTTGACAAGGTGTCAACGTCTTCTTTTTTCATATCTGGCCCATTGTCTGGCGTAATTTTGCAGATGACGGAATCCATAATATTTATGAAATTTTGACGCCAGTTGAAGGATCGGGGTTCCCTATATTTAGGACCTTCTAAATTATTGATCTAAGGTCCTCATTATTAACTATATTTACATCACCAGTAATATCGTGGCCAGCGGGACTATAGTTATAGGGTGAAGAAGAACATGAACACGATGGAGGATAATGTTTCTGATACTCGGTATCCAGGCCATGTAAAGTTTTTTTTTGGTAATTGAAAAGTTTGGAAGCAATGGTCGATGTATATTTGTAGGAAATACAAGGTGCAGTTTTTAACTTAAAATAAGGTGGAATACAAGATTGGACCCTTTTGTGATTAAGAATATTACTTATATTGACCGTGTCAATTCCTTATTTGCATATTGAAGATTAAGGAAAAGAAGGATTGTTTGCTGCATTTTCTTCTGTAAAATGTGCGGTTTTAAGAAGCTTATGATATGCAATATCCATAATCACAGATCCGAGTTTATATTCAGGTGTCGAGGAAACAAAAATTGGACTTTACTTGGCCTTTTCAAGAAAACTATTTAAAAGTTTCAAAGGGACAGAGTAAAGTTTGGTGTGAGTATGATGTAGACCTCACTTTGTTTTTTAAAGTAGAAATGAATCAAAAGTGACGTCGTGTATTGCAGGGTTATTGTACGACCGATGCCCATGGCTATGCTTACGTCTCTGTGTGTGGTTCAAATGTCCCATCACATTTACATTATTACCCTGTGGACTGGAAAGATCTCCAGCACTATCGACATTGTCATTACATCCATAGGGAAAAGCTATCCCTAGTTTTCTAATCCAAAATTCTTCTCTTTTTCTATGGAAAGGTGTACTCAGCAACGGACTATTTGTGTGGTGATAAATCTTTTCGAGAATTCTAACTTTCATTGAAAAAATAGAATAATCAGGTAAATAAATAAATAATTGAATAAAAGCAGCTGCCCACCGTGATTTATTTGAAATCGATGACCTGATATTCTTTTGTAAAACGATCCCTTGGTTTCACCAACATAAACAAGTCCACACAAATTATATTCTATTCCATAGACAACATTAGAAGATTTGCAGTTCAGATTCTCCCAAGTTTTGGTATAGAAGCCCATTGATGAAAGAAGTGTTAGTTATCAAAATGTCACAGATTTTACAGTTTCGCACAGAACATTTTGAAACAGAAGACATGGGATCGGAAAAGGAATAATCAAATATATCTGTAACAGAAACCTTGTATTTCTTCAATATTTTGTACGATGTATTAATTGGTTTTTTTCAAAAACTGAGAATCTGAAGACTGTACATATGACATATGTTTAATATTCCTGAAATTATCATCCCTGAAGCTTATTGATTAGAGTTGAAAAAACGTTTCAGCAAATAGCCAAAAAACCCAAATTTCAATTCATTCTAAATTCATTCACAATAATTCACTGATTATTTTTTTTTGAAGTGTTGAAATGAATATACTGTAGGTGAAAATTAGCCTAAAATTCAATAATCTGTTAGGAAGATTTATCTCCTGTTTTACATCCCTTAAAGAAAAAGATAAATTTTGATGCACAAGTATATGAAATAAATAACTCAAAGATCTTTTGTGTAAATTTCATTTAATTTCATTAACTTTTAGTTGTCTTAAAGGTCTTACGCAAGGATATAGCCAATCAAAATGAACTCGGTCAAATGTAGTTCTACATATATAGAGACAATTTCTTTTTTCATTTTCGGCAACCTTTTTTAGGTCTACAGTTTTAATTTTGGACTTTTGTAATAGGAATATCATGCCGTTGACAGACTTGTGCCATTGAATTAAAGAAAACTCTTTTTTATGTGCGCATGATGCAACTTCGTGGATGGTTTGTGAGCCTTTTGTTAACATCTGAAACCCGCGTGAATACGCGTGTATTTCGGGGTAGGTATGTTTGCTCTCATTTTTCTATCTTAAAAGCCTCATTCAGGTTTTTTTTTTTATCTCAGCATTAGTCTTTATTTTCTATTTCATTTATTATCTTCTGAGGGTCAACCGGTAGTTAATAAATAATTTAATAAAAGCTATATAGTAACATATAGTGATATTATTTCATTTTATGAGACCTTAAGGCAGGCGGAGAGATAGGAAAAATTACGATGGAATAAAAACTGTAAACCGACTTTTATTCGCGTGTGAAAAATATTCGCTAGTTTTACGACCTACTATAAATCGCGAATATTAATCGCCGTGGACCATTCATGATGCTTTGTTTTTGTATAAAATGTTTCCTTGGATATGGATATAACGAACAATATTTAAGCTCCAAAGTCCATAAAACAATACAAGATTAGAGCAAAGGCACTAGACTGATTTTAAGGTCTGATAAAATTTTAATGTGTGCCCCACTGATAAAATACAGGTTTTTTTATTTTTTTTTTATGTTTCAAAAAATGTAAATTTACTTTAAAAGTAACTCCCACGCAACTTACAGTATATAAGTAATATTTTTATGGTCCTTTAGCGTACATAAGGTCTTCTAGATATCTTTTTTTACGCACAAATATTTAATTTTTATTTGGAAGAAAAAATCTTTCAAAAAATCGCAGTTTTATACTTTGTTTCCAAATATACAGAAAAAAATAACTGCTTACACAAAGGAAAATTTCCTTCTTTCATACTACGAGGCCATTCATTCTTAAGTCACAAAAATCAGAGTATTTTGACTCAAAATTAATGAAATTTTCAAAGAGAAAATTTAATGATGTTTGTTATTCTTCAACCACTTAAACATTTGAATGATATCTGTTTATCACAGTTTCCACCCTCGGTAATATAAGAAAGCTGCGCAGAAGAGGCAGATGCTTCTGATTCTGACTTCACTCTTCTTCTAGGTCTTACATATACCCTAGCTTCAACTGCATCAGAGTATTTTCTTACCTGTAAAAGTGTTTCAGTCGCATTTATACGAGTGCTAAAACTTTGTTTTTCTGAATGAAAATGATGTTTTTAAATACATATTCATTTACGTTTCTCTTAGATCTACCAAGGTCGCCGCCAGTTGGTGTTTCCTGACTGTTTTGTCTGATATCTGAAAAAATGTGTACAGTGAAAATAATTTCTTGCCTGCAAATAATAATAATAAGAACACAAAAAATCAATTATCATATACATGTACAACCATATGCCACTTTAAAGTATAAGAGATGCACATGTGTATTTCAAATATATTATTAATCATAAAGAGCCCAAATGCCAAATTGATGGTTTTATTTACCTGCTACTTTAATATTATTTTTAATAAATCCTTTTAATCTAAAAAGTATGCAATTGCAAATCGTTCATTCATTTATGTCTTTATTATTTGACACAAATGTTTTGTAATGTCATGTTACCTTCTCTGCACACAGGAGCCTTAAAGTCAAACTCTGTAATTCTGTTCTTCACTTCATCGAAATCTTCTTTGATAGCGCTTGAATCAGCGTTCTATGGAAACAAAGTAAGTAAGAACAATATTTTAAAAAATCACAGATTTATTCCTTGACATGAAATTCTATGACTTCACGCTGAATGTAAGTTATATTTTCCCTTTTAATCTAGTCTAATAAAGATAGATTTGAACTGAATTATGGTATTGAATGTATATCGATCATAATTTGTAACTACCAGCATTTTCCAGCTAAATCGTGGAAAAAACATATTGATCGAAATATACATTGTAATGGACACACTAAAGTTGCAAAGGTTTATTTATCACATTTAAGCACATCTTAATTTTTTTATGAAATGGAAACAATTTTTAAAGAAATACTTGAGTGCATGTGTGCAGGGTACAGCCATTCCTATCGTGCATGATGAAAAAGATATGCAAGTTTCTTCGGGGAATATGCAGGAATTATTCGTTAAAAGTTAAATAGATATGTTTAGGGTAAAAAAATTGTCATATTTTTAATTTACTATCTCTTATTTTGTCAATGGAACTTTTTAACAGTAATTTTTAGTAGTATCCCAAGCATTTTAATTGGGAAAGTGGTAAACACAACACACCAAACATGATAATGTTAGACTACATAATGGTGCACAGGAGAGCAGTTTTCTTTCATTTAGATATAATAATTACATCATTTAAAAAGTATATAAAAATATCACTTTTCCTTTAAGTTAGGTTTACAAATGGGTGTATTCAAAGCGGAGGCTTTTTGATCGAATCCCCGGGTAGGACAGAACATACGCTCAAACAACTATTGGCAGAAAAAATCAAAGTACTGAAAGTACTGTTAGACGGAGGCTTCATGTATGAGAGAACACAAAAGAAATATATATGTCATACATTGCTGTAAAGAATATTATGAGAAATAATGTGTAGTTTTTTTTTCAATTCAACATTTTTTTCAAAGGATACTCCAATATTCATGAGGTTTTTGGAATATTATAATTTCATCTTTGTAATGTAAACTTCGCCTTGATTAAAGTTCACTGTTATTTAGATGAGATACTTTCAATATTAAACCTTCCAAAGTAAGAAACAGTATTGACTAGGCCTGGTTGACATAAAACTTAGACGGGCTAACTTTTTATCCCAGTCTCACTTAAGGAATATATAGTGGAAAAGTGAGACTGAGATCAAAAGTGAGCTTGTCTAAGTTGTATGCCCCCAGGCCCGGTTTGATGAATGTAGGTTTAGTATGTTCTAGTCATGAGCCCACTGGCGGAATTAAAAGGGGCCACTGGCCCCCTCCCTTTTGAGTCCAAAAAATACGCAATATTTGATAAATGAGTGTTTTAATTGTGGCTGTGGGCCCCTTCCCTGACCTCAAACTGGTCCCCCTATTTCAGAATTTCTGGATTCAGCACTAGGCCTCAGCCTGTCAGGAGTCTCCATATTTCAAGATATCTTATTTATAGGTCACAGAGACCTACTGTTAACATGATTATGACATGTAACAGCTACCAAAATCAAAATTTCTCGGCCTTATTGTAATAATGTTATAATATGAGCTAACATGGAAAAAGAAGCAGCCAGGTAATTGGACATGAACAACATAATATAGTACAGTTTGTCTTAAACCTTTTTGATACAAAATGGGGTGACCTAGCTTGAAAGCAACACAGAATTTTCTTTAAGTAATACAACTTCATTAACATGCAATAAATGTTCGTGCCAGAACACAATTTTTTGAGTGGAATAAAATATACTTTCTTACTTTATGTAAACAGAACAATCAAGTTCATAAGACTTGCTATTTCACAAGTTTAAATTGTTTTTGGAGAACTGGAGTATTGCTTACAATAACAAAGATATATCTTGACAAATTTGACAACCAATATTTCTGGAATTATTAAATGTAGTATTTTATCATATGACAGATTAACCCATAAAATGTCTTTCTTTACTCGTATACCAGTGGAAATGGTTGTCCTTTTCAGTTTATCTGTTTAAAACAATCATTAACAATGAGACATGATTACAAATTACGTAGAGAAAAGTTATAAATATATAACTATGATTTCTGCTTTTCAGTTAAAACAATCACTTTACCAATGATGTAGGTTTAAAAAAATTGACATGAATACCAATGATCAGAAATACATGTAATCTTGTATATAAAAAATAATTAAAGTTTGGGATGTGAAAGAGGTAAAACACAAGTATCAAATGCAAATAAGGATCAACGATATGACAATAAGACAACTTATTTCAGAAGATATGATTTTTAATTATTAATTAGGATATTATGTGATAAATCATGTAAATCCTATGAACCAAGATTTGGGTTGTACCCAAGGGTCAAACGTTACAAATGCATTTTGATCTCAATATCAGAGTTGCCGTTTGTTTCTCTCTTATCTAATGTGAGGGTACCCCAAACACTCAAACCGGTTGTAGAAAGTGTAAATCTATTTTCATGTGTTTCCTGAAATTATACATAATATCAAATAAACAATTCAAAACTAGACTGTTAATATTCCTACATATAAAAATACTATGCATTTGTTTATTCATCGATCCTTGTCAGATTAAAAGACTCCATGAAACCTATTGATGCAAGCGTCAAAAATCGGCCGCAAACCAATTTTTCGGTCCTTTCAAAAAGAAATTAGAAAAGGAATGAAAATGAGATTACAAACAACAATCAAGCACAAAAAATTCCATTAAAAACTGAAATGCTTGATCTATTATTAAAATATCTTATATTTATACCTGCGACATAAAACATTTGCATGCGACATAGCAGGATTTTCTTCAATACATAATACAGGTACATCTGCGTCTCCACACTTAGTTTGATACACAGGCGAATTCTGGTGGAAGTTTTTGCAATTAAATATAAAACTAAAGTTTAAACTTATCTGTAACTAGAGATAGTTTTTACTTTAATAAAAGAAGCAATTGATAAGTGGGGTTCCTCGATCACTCTCCGCGGATGTTAACCCCCCCAACTCCCTCTAGATCCGCCACTTCATTTCTTCTCGTTCTTGTTTTGGTGTGAGAACCGGCGGGAAAAGGCTCGGCATATTGTAAAACATGCTTTATCATCGTCTGTTGGAACAAAATCTCCTAATATTCTGTCTGATAAAAAATTAATAGTAAATCACATTTTTTTTTACATATTCCGTAGGAAATGTATTTATATACACGTCATTTTAAAAAATATTAGACAAATCCTGTTTATTTAGAAAAAGTAGAACTGTTTGTTTATGTTTGTTTATACTTGTAGTCTTTGTTTTAGACTATGCCTATCCTTGCGGTCGGCGTAACGCAGAGTCGCTCTAAAAATTGAATTCTCAAGGTAATGAAAACAATTCCACCGATAGATGGTGCTTGGGAAATCCTTCCTGTTTACATTCCATGGGCAAGACAATCCCTATACACGGAGGCTGTCATACAGCCTCCGTCTAAAAACAATGTCACTGTTGACAGTCGTACGTTTGCCTATTTTTTTTTTATTTATAGTGAGAAAACTCCACAGGACTTACCAATAACTATTAAGAAAGTCCCATATTGGTTCCTTAAATGTTTATAGAGCATAAAGAGATACAAGAGTATCAATGAAATTCCTGAATTCCTAAATTTGAGACTTATCAAACTGTTTTATGAAAAACAAAACAGAAACTTGACGCTATGATACACACTTTGACATTATCATCCATGCTAAATAAAATATTAGAGAGGTTTAATATTTGAACGTGTACGTCTACTTGTACCTGTGAACTTAAAAGTAATTTTACACGGACATGTAACTATCGTCGGGTTCTGTTTAACAAACTGCACGTGTACCGGTACGTGTAAAACGACATTTCAGCAAGGTACTTTACAATCCATTTGTATCAAGTAAATCTATGACTTGAAATAAAAAGGATGCATTAGAGGTGCATAATAAATTCTCAACTTTATACCAAACATCGGCTGAAAAATATTTATTCTTTAGTTTAAGAAGCTACAAGTTCTCACCTACGCGTACTTACGAATCTACACGTTGTGTACAACTTGTAGAATTACGCGGTATGCAAAACTGATGACGTAAATTGCATTAAATTATGGGATTTCCCAAGCTACACCTACACGTAGACGTACACGGTCAACTGCTTTACCTCTCTATTTTGGCATTGCTATATGGCGTGTAAAACGTTGCTTTATTCAAAATCTTGTGATTTATATTTAAAATCTTGTGATGCATGTTCAAAGTCTTGTGATGCATGTTCAAAATCTTGCGATGTATATTCAAAATCTTATGATGTATATTCAAAATCTTATGATATATATTCTAAATCTTGTAATGTATATTCTAAATCTTGTAATATTATTCAAAATTTTGATGTATATGCAATATCTTGTGATGTACATGCAAAATCTTGAAATGTATAATCAAAATCTTGAGATGTATGATCTGTAATCTTGTGATCTATATGCAATATCTTGTTATGTATATTCAAGATCTTGTGATGTATACTCTGTAATCTTGTGATGTATATTCTGTAATCTTGTGATTTATGTGCAATATCTTGTGATGTATATTATGCAAAATATGTGATGTATATGCAGAATCTAGTTTGTATGTTTATACAATTTTGTGGCGTATATCGATATTCTTGTGATGTATATTCAATTAAACTTAATTGTGAGTATATGTGCAAGAATGGCATTGTGGGTAGTATGACGCAATGTAAAGACAATTTTCATTGGTTGGAAAGAACGAAAGTAGCGCGGGAGTGATGCATACGTAGATCAATTGGACTTTTAAACAAAGAAAAGAGACATAAGATATGCATTATGTATGCAGATATATTGAGGAAGATGTAAATGTAACGATTAGAGTGAAGCCTCAAATCATCGACTTTCTTTTTCACAGCGTTCTGGTCTAGTTCTACTTTAAAGTTTTATATCAATGAAAAGTCTTTTCGAATATTACCCACTATGTAATTACTGAATATACATCACAAGATTATAGAACATACATCAGAAGATTTAGCATATACATCAATTGTTATAAAACATATTCACTTGTCAGATTTTGCATAATTATACATCACAATACTTTTAACATACATCACAAATCGAACATACATCAAAAAATTAGAATATACATTAAAAAGATATTGCATATCCATCACAAGTTTATAGAACATAAGTCACAATATTTTCACATACATCACCAAATTTTGAACATACATCACACGGTTTTGAACATACATCACAAGATTTTGAATATATATCACAAGATTTTGAATATACATCACATGATTTTTCAATACACATCTCAATATTATCGAATAAAGCAACGTTTTACACGCCATATTTATATATGTATTTACAATTCGCTAGGTATATTGGTGAACTATGTACTAAAAGGAATTGAAAATTTTAAATCGCAGTGAAGATTATTTTTCACTCTAGACAATTGTTCCTCGATTTAATCGGATAACACTCGTATAAATGAATGGTTAGATATTTTCAATCATAGTAAAATTTTTGGTCGTTGATAAAAACAAACACTCTCACAAGGGAACCCAAAAAGTTTTGAATACTGTCTAATTAATTGCATTTTAAATTTTGCTAGTCTATTTGAAGTGTATTATTATGTCGTTTAATTATTCTGAAAAGTAATTGTAACTCTCGATTAAATGTGTATAATTTCTCTCTTTATGAAAATAATTAATTTGTTTCATCTTTGCCACAGATATTTCGACAAATCAATCATTCTTTTTTTTCAACATGCTCTTATGATTCTTACAAAAACCATTAAGGTGTAAAATAGACACTGTTTTATATACATGTAATTACATTACTTAGTCATTTGAATTTAGTTCCATTTACTGTCATCGTTATGAAGTAATGCATATTCAACAGGTTTACGCTTTATAGGCATTTTGACCAAAGTGAATCTAAAATACAGAAGTGTGTGCAACTCAATGGCGACTGAAATCTCGTACCTTTCTGCCTAAAAGTGGTGTGTTCTCCTGTGCTTCATCTGAGCTATAATCTTTTAAAAAATGTCGAATTGATTAACACTTTGTCTAAAAGATTCTTTCACACACACATACACTCACCCTCACAAACACCTTCAGACATCTCCCACAAACATATAAAACATATTGAAGATTTATAAAACTGGAGACTGATACATATTTAAAAGCAGTATAGATGCATTTAAATAATCACGATGAATGTAACAAAAAAATTATTAGATATCTAATACATTAATAGTAATGATTGAAAATATTGTTAAAATAAAAAGTTTTGATTTCACTTTGAAAGATTAATGTGTTTTCTTTTTGATAGAATTCCAATGTGATTTTTATATTGCAGTCCGAAATATTATGAGGTCATTATCAAATAACATCAAAGACTCGATATTTCCTCTCATTTTTTATTTTTATTGATAACATGTATCAATAAATAAATATTTATAGGGAGTAGTAACAGGGAGTAGCTTTGACTTTTAAGGGAGTAACCCTATTCAAATGGGGGAAATAGTCTCTTATCAAGGAAAATTTTCAGTTTTATGGAAAAAAAATTTATATAGATTAAATACAGTAGAGGAATAATATTAAAAAATATATTACCCTGTGATTGATATTTGGATGGAAGTGTTAATGGAATATTTTCCTCTTTGTCACCTTCAGACAAATATCGACGTCTTTCAAACTGTGTCTTTCGATTCAATTCCTGCAACAACAAAGCAATCCTTTTTATAACACATTCTTTAATGGGAAAATTGACAACCTGCTCAAATATATATTTTATTAATTAATTGGAAAAAATTGAGCAATTATAATTAGCTTCAAAACATAAGCTCCCCGAAAATATATTGACAGACCAGATTTCTGGCTACTTTTATTGTTCAAGATACTAAAGATTATAAAAACTGCGTCAATTGTAAATTAAATATTAAGGTTAGACATATTCAAATTAAGAAAAAGTGTGAATCTTTATATTTTTATAATCGATGAGAAAATAAAAAATAATTCATGTCTACAAAACCCGCAGTTTTGTGTAAAGAAATAGTTGCATTTAGAATTAAGAAATGTACATATTAAGTGATTACAATTTCAGATCATTTCTATGCATTTTCACCTATTAATATTGAGATGTCGTTTGCTTAATTCATTGGCTAACTAGCATTATCATCATACATGTAATTATAATGAAATGTAGGCCACCCTATTCTTGTATATATTATACTCTACCTTGAAATATTTGTATTTGGTTTTGACCTTTTGAGCCGCTGTAGTTTGAGATTCTAGAATAAATAGAAGCACATTACATTAAAAGGAAAAGTTGTGGTAAAGGATATACTTCCCTCCCATTATAGTCCCCAGCTTGTCCCACTTAGTTTTTAGCATCTTTTTTAACTTTAACATTTGGAGATATGATAAGTGAATTCTTTGCAAGTTAAAAGTAAATGTGAAAAAAGAATCAAACCTGGATCTTCATTATTGTTATTGAAAGTCACTGAAGGTGTACGTACAGGATTACCTATAAGACAAAATTTAAGTCTAAATATATTATAGTGTTCTATTTTCTACAATATTAAAATACTTTTATGATTTTTTATTTATCTCATTTTTCACATTTTATAATGCTAAAAATAATTCAAAATAAAAATATATAATTATCTTGCTTCCAGAATTTAACTTTGCCGTTAATGCTATTTTTTTTTATTAAAAACATTTTTTTTTTTTTACAAATTTTAAGAATGGATTTCTTTTCCCATAAAAATAAATACAATACCTTCTCTACGCCGTTTGATATAGAGGCCAATTGCAACAGAACAAACAATAACACAAACAAGTATACCAAAAAGTACACCAAATATCCTATAAAAAGAGACCATTTATATAATAAGCTTAACTACTAAGTATTATTCGGTAAAATGTACATCGATTGTCCCTCATTATTTCAAAATTATTTCGATCCTGTTCTTTCCAAATTAATAAATCCTAATCCTGATAATGCACCGAAGTAATCTTTATTTATTATATTAACTTAAGGTAAGTCACTCGTCAAATTTGTTAAATCAAGGATTTTTTGGGAAGTACATTTTGGATAAGTACTCACATAGTATGATTCAAAATCGCAGAGAAAATAGGGGGTCAGTGTGCATCTTACTGATCTATGGTACAATTAAGTTGACCTTTTTGCACTTAAATTTTAACTCTTTGATTTATTTCTTTATCTCTAATTTTATTTTATCAGATGTTACTACGCTAATAAATTTAATCTTATTTTACATAAAATAGTTGGAATAATATTTATCATTGAACAAATCTTGCAAATTAAAGCGCGTTTATTATTGTGTGACCTTTTTGCACTAAAAATAACATATTTGGGGTATTAAAAAACTAAATAGGCAATAAAATAATTTCTTGTATCAAGCTTTTTAGGAGTTAAGTGCTGGTCAGTCACAAGTATCGAGTAGTTTAAAATAATGAAAGAAAAATTTGGGGTCAGTGATGTTAAGTTTGAAATATTGGTCAAAATATGTGATTTTCAGGCAAAAAATGGTGTAAATTTTATCTTGACTTCTTTAATATATCTTCATTTCTTGGCAAAATTTGTTGAGGGAAGGTGTAAAACTTGTTCTAAAAATATAACTTAAGACCTATATTAAATATTCCTGCAATATCATAACGGAAAATATTCTCCGAGTAAAAGTATGTGAGGCTAAAGTTTCAAGACATTAAAATTAATAAATGTGCAGATTTGCAGAAATTTCTGCTGAATATTCTTCCACCACAAGAAATAGTCCCTCATAAATCTTGCTACTTTGTAGATTTTTAAGCAGTTTTTTCGATGAATGTTATAAAATTTACATGGTTGAATATAAATATTTTATAAAAATTGAATTTTAATAAATATTTTTAAGGTAAGAGGTTCTGCGTGAACTTTTCTAAAAAGCTTACGAGTGACATACCTTAAAAAGAAATTAAGAAATACACATATTTTACATAAATTGCACTTTTAGCTGGAATGAACTTTTTTCTTTGTGATCTTTATTGACGTCTTTCAAATTTTGAGACAAAGTATATTTGATTTTTTAAAGTTTAATTTTGTCTAAAAGTATATTTTTTATACTGAGGATACTTTCTTTGACCAAAAGCTTATTACAGTATTAATCTAACCCAAAAGCAAAAATGAAATTACTCAACCAATTGTTATTGTTTGTCTTTTCCGCATCATCATCTGCTACAGTTGAATCTGATGTTGGAAGTTCTGTAGTTGAATGGAATGTATTTACATCTTCCACCTCTCTCATCACTTGGTCGTAACATTCTGAATCTTTTCAAAGTAAAATATCATATTAAGCTTTCGTGAAGATTGAAAATTGAGAAAATTGATCCGTCATAATAATCATTATACAGATATAAAAATTGAGTAAAGAAAACTATACCAGAGAAAAGATAAAGCTGACATAAATTATCATTAATCATAAGACCCGTCGCTTTTAATAATGTATTATTAATACTACACCTCAAATGATGAATTTTTGAATCTTACGATATAATTTTTTTTTCAAAGTTATTCTTACATTGATATGAACCGTTCGACAAATAAAATTTCGGACAAGATTTACAGTTTCTGTGTTGATTGCCCTGTATGACAAAACCTCCAATGTTGAATTCTGCGCAGCGTTCATCTACAAATAAGAAATATTATAAACTCCTTTAAATGGGTTCAGTATTTCTTATGTCTGTGGGTCACTTTGTTTAGACTGTTTTCACGTTTATCCATACTGTGATTCTTTGTTTCAAGTATGTTTGATATTGATCTAAAATAACAATTTTAATATCACATCAGTTACATGTAAGTTGGTACTGTAAGACAGTTGACCGGTCAAACCCACCACAAATGTTTCTCGAGAGTGCCACACTACCTTTGAGACTATGACTTCTTTCTACACTTACTATGGAAGCTTTTCACTTTCGTTTTATCTTCGTTTTTATCGATTAGTGACATTTGCAATCAAAGTAATTAAATTGACCAATTTGCAAAATACTCCAATAATTAATTAAGCATTTTAAGAAAAATTGATTGGTAGTAGTTTTACTGACATATTTCACATTCCCATTGTTGAACATTTAACTAATTTACGTTAGTAGATATAAAAAAAGCTATGATTCTTATTTCACTATTTTCAAGTAAAAAACGGAATAGTTCCATAGCTTGATTGCTGTTGCAATACTCATAATGTCATTGTTATTAACAACACATGTGTTTGATTTTCACCGATGATAAGAATCATTATAATACTTACGAACAATTTGTCTGATTGGGGAGCATAGTTCATAAGTATCATTAAAAAAACTGTTAGGGAGACAGTGATAAACAAATATAGCGCAATTGTTTGGTATCTGGTTGCATCCTTTTCTGATCGCGGCATCCCTATTCTCCTTGGCTGTGGTCGGGCACCTTTTCACAGACTGTAATGTTTTTTCAACGTCTATACGACATTTAGGATCAAATCCATCGTATTTCTAAAACAAATATTTATTAATATATTTAATACATTGATATAATGTCAAATTGTAATTTTAGAAATATTTGTCAAAAATATTTTTTTTCTTTGAGAGGGGTAGTGGTGGTACAAACCTGCCCGATAAGATATCCAATGAACAACAACTGAACCAGTTGTATAGTACCCATTACTGAAAAAAAGATATAAATTTAGATCTGCTTTACTCTTAAGCTAGGATTATTCTCATATTTCTTTTATTTAAAAATTAATGCAATTTTCACAGAATCAATAAGACAATATCTGTAAGTGATGGTATCATTGAGATTAAATCTGACCGTTTAATATTGGAGGAAAGGTTAGGTCAATGTCATTACCTTTTCCCCGAACATTAAGAATAAAAGCTACTATTGCCAATCGTGTGATCTCTTCTCGCGTTTTACAAGTTTTTTTTTTCTTATCCGTAAAAAAAACCTCCATTTAGAGGTACAATTTTAAGCCATAATTAGGATCTATAAGCCATAATTAATCAAGCTTATAGGATGAAAGATATGGAAATAACAAACAGTATTCTAGATCAAAAGTCCATAAAACAATACAACATAGGAGCAGAGCAAACACGGACCCGAAACAATGGAGGTGGAATCAGGTGCCATAGAGGAATGACCATTCTCTGCCGACCCGTCAAACCCGCCATACGCATGTGCTCCTTGTTATTATCGGAAAATAACGGAAAAATCCGTCGGTTGGATAATGTTTAATCTTCTGTCACCGCTCAATTAGAAGCATTACTTTAGATGTTATCCGACTATGACTTATGACAATTGTCATTTCATTGGAAGTCCATTTAATAATCTTACATTTGTTCAAATCTTTGATAAACCAATTATACACGTGGATTAAGGTACATTTATAATTTTATAATCCCTTTAAACAAATTTAAATGACAGAGTATGAGAGTACTGTATTATTATTAAAAGAACAATTATGGCTATTTATAAAATATAATGATACATAGAATGGCCTTATTATCACATAATTTATTAATTGGGTCGTTTGTAGGCTGCCTTTTTATACCTATTGTTAGGCCTCTAAACAATACATAGGGGGTAAAAGCGGATGTGACCGGTGGATTAGGGATTCTTACTTCATCTTAACACCTAATCTCACCTCCATAATGTCCAGTAGTTTGAATTTTTTGCCCTCTTTACATATTTTTATTGATTTTCTTAGACAGATTACTGTTCATTGTTTTACCTTTAATCATTTAAGAGTGTCTGACCATTATGGAAAGACTGTAGTTGATATTAAAACCAAATATTGTACCCCATCGATCAAGATTGAAATTTTTTGGAAGGACGAACAATAGATAATAATATAAATAATTCTATAACAGTTAAACGTATGGGTAAGAGGTCACCCTGTCGTCACATCATGTTGATTAAAGTTATGTTTGAGATTTGTTTTGATAAACCAAATATTTTTTCAGTTGAGAAAAAGAATTTTAGATGTGTGTATTTTGGGTTTTATCTATTATAGAAGATATTATTCTATAAAGACACAAATAGAAAGAACATAAACATTGTTTTTACTAAGAATATGCCGAGTGTCACCCTATCTAAAGTTTTATAAACTCTTTGCTCACTCATATAAAATGTTGCTTGAACCTTAATGATTTTTCAAAAGAAATGTTTTTATAAGTAAAATAAAAACAATTTGGTTATCACCCCCTTTTCAGATTGACACCATTCTTGAGACCATTTGGTTATATGTTTTATGTCAATCATGCCATAATTGTATCTAGTCATTTGATGTAACTTTTTGTTGCTCTCAGGTACAAACTTGATTTTATTTGTCTCTTAACTATTGATGTTAATGCATATAATTTTAGTTACTTTTGAACATGTTTTTCTATTGTGCTTTTTTGATCCATTGTCATTTATTGCATATTTCAATAAATGACCATTTTTATTCTTGAAAGAGGAGTTCTGTTCTTATTTGATGTGGGTGGTGAGGAGTATCAATGAACCTTAAAATAATTTAAATAAAAGTATAATATACGTCTATGATTTTTTTCTTTTTTTATCTATGATCCTATGAACTCAAATAGTTCCAGTTGACAATAAAGACTTTAAATTTTTGTGTTGCTTTTCCCATTCCAACAAGTAAAAAAAAACCAACTTCTAGTTTGCAAATTTTGTGCAAATATTTAGAAAAAAACAAAAAAATGTGTTTCTTAAAAATTCATAAAAAGTACAGCTGGCATTTAGAGTTAAGTAAAGCAACAGACAACAAAAAGGAAATAAATTGTTTTTGTCGACCTGATATTAAAGATCATACAGAATCTTATAGGTGTACGGGTAATATATCGTTAAGATTTAGTGTACGTATCACTTAGTATAGGTATTTGTTATAAACCTAACTCTTGATCAAATTGTGATCTTTCTGGTCTCGTATATTTCCTTTAATATAAATTAATCTTTAAAGTACAAGGAAGAGGTGAATCACTTTATAATAATTTATTTCTATCATTTTTTTTTGTTATCATTTAAACTCAGTCGGTAACTCTACATGTAAAACAATTTTAAAGGTCAAGTCTAAAATTAAAACATACATGTATATATTTATTAATAGAAGTGGGGTTTTTGAACAGGTGATAATTCTATTTATAGCGTGAATTGTTTAAAAATTGAATTTTTATTAAATATTTTGTAAATTGAAGACATAATTAAATATTAGATTCTAACACTGCTCTCGACCTCTAGTGTGTTTTACTAGTACTCAAGCATGCACATCTAAAATATCGACCAAATACACATGTTATAAGCTTTCTCATTTGATTGAGCAAAATTATCCGCAGAGAAAGTTATTCCAGAGAAGCTTTCGAGGTTGAAAAACTATGACCTTACCTAGTTGTTCCAGAAATCAACGAACATATCTGCGTTGAATGGTGGTGTAAATAAGTAGAGATGACACGTTGCATCTATATTTTAAAGTTTCTTCTTCGTGAAAAGAAATGTAAACATTTAAAGTTTAATAAATGCAGTCCTTGCACCGGTTTAATCTAACAGATCAGTCTGCTGTTCTTGTCACGCACCCGTTACATTGATTAGAATTCCTAACCTCCTTGAATGGTGTACACTATTTTTTTCCTGTTTATCAAATTAGTGGTATGAAAATTCCATTATTAAAAATGAATGAGCTTTAAGAATGAGAAAACAGAAGGAATTCATTTTCAGCACACCTCCTGTTTTCATAGTCTGTGTAGTACTGAACTGAACGCCCTCTATCTCTTAAACTGAGTTACCTTTCTTCGGGGGCAGATAATAACGAAAAGGTAAATTCATTTTGTCATAAACTAAGTATCAAGACAAAGCTGGACGACAAAATCTCTTAAATAAATTAAAGTCAATTCTACTACGATTATTGGCGAGATCAAAGAAATGCCACGGACATTATTTAAGCAATAAAATGCTTTCTTTGTTTGTTGTTACTGGAGTTAACGGAAGCAGCTGTTGCAGGAAAAAATACATAACCCGCTTATGCGGGTTATGTACATTTTTTCGGCAATAGCTGCGACCTTAATTCCAGTAATAATAAACAAAGAAAGACATTTTATTGTTTATATTTATACATGTATCTGTTTAAATAATCATTCAATGTAGGATTTAAAAGATTAGTTATTGTATTAATGATGCGAACGCCTTTATACGTTTCTTTGATGGAACAGCCACTGATCAAGAAATCTGTACAGGCGACATGTCTAATGTAGTTCATGCAGTGATTAACGCAATGGGTTTTCTTAAGAAATAAAGGAGAAAATATTCAGTGGATGTAAATATTCTCCAATAAATCCCGAACAAAACATTATTAGATTAGAAACAAGTATCAAAGCTGTGCAGTTGAAATGTACATTTGACTTAAGAATGAAATACATATTAAGACCACATCAATGTGTTGTCTTTTGCAATTAAAACACTGTATCTTGCAGAAAGTAGCTGATGAATGTAGATGTTTCTAGAGCTATGCAGGGCTGTTCACGGACCTCCCTACGTCATCTTTATAACTCCGTGATTGTAGTGATCAAGTGGTAAAATAGGACGCTGGTTTTGTTTTTGTATATTGAAAAATATTTATCTTTATATTTATCTATATTTATATTTATCATCGGTCTTTTAAATGTTGTTTGAAATATAAAAGCGTCGGTTAATGCCTCGGCTTTTCTCTGTCAAACAACATTCCTCGACCTCGGACGTTATTCTGCAACATTCACGAAAACTCAGACTTTATTTCTTAAACAGTAGTTATACCTTTGTTTTTATACAACATTACACTACGGGATGTTCTGCCTGCTTGATCACTACACTTGACTCACGGCGGTTGGGACCTGTCAACAGGATATGCTAACTCCTTTTAGGCACATCATCCCACCTCTTGGAATATCCAGGGGGTCTGTGTTTATGTCCTGTTCAAAGATTGCTATTGAGTCATCACTATACATTGTCGTTAACTCTTTTTGAATTTATAGGATTTAATTTTATTCTCAGAATATACCTACGTTATAAGTACATCTCAAGCTCACCAGGATATATAGTATCGACATAAGAATGGAAATTACCATTGTTAATTTATAATACATCGTCAATGGTGAAGACCACAACAAGTGTTTTCTTCTTTTCACGTTTAAAATTTAGCACAAAAATAGTTCTGCTCATAACCTGCAAGCAACCTTTAGAGTTTTATTGTAAATCTGTTCGTCTTTTCTTATTGTATTTATAACATTATGTGATTGATGCTTGTTTTCAAGCCTTAGAAAATCAGAGATATTCTTTTCACCTTCATCAATCCATTTAGCCCTCGATCGTATTTGAGCACCCTTGATTTATATTCATATAATACATGTATATCTAATTCGTCTTCTAGATTTTTTTTTTTTTTTTTGTGAATCATGTTTATTTGTGTATAGTGACTGTTTCTATCTTTTCGATATCTTTTTCAATATTTTGTATTTTGCTTTTCAAAGATTTATTTTTTTTGGGTGCAGAAACGAATAAATATATTTTTATATATGTTTTAGCAATTCCCATTTGGTATGGGCGTTATTCTCATTTTCTTTATCTTTGGGAAGTTGAGTAAAAAAGTCATTTATCAAGGAACAATAAT